TTGGAGAATCACTCGTTGCACCGAGCACTGGTCAAAGAATCAGATGGTCGAATAGCGGTGGTCGGAGAGTTGACCACTCTTTATCACATGGACAGCTCAGCGATCGTGCCAGATCTGGTCGAAACACCCGGATCTCTGAAGGAATCTCCAGCACGTGGAAGAGGGACACGTGACACACAACGAGTGGTCCAAAGCGGTAATGGTCTCTAACATTCCCTGGCACATTCTAACGCATTTCTGACACTAAGATAGTGGAGGCAGACGATTGTACGGACGAGCATGGAGGATAATCAGCTCGACTCGCTTGGACAGCGCGTGGCAGCAGGTAGCTCGTCCCTATAAATAGGACGAGAGCTCTTGTTTTAGACATAATCTATCATACTTACATATTTTTCACATATATTCTTCATCATCTCAAGACTGACTTGAGCGTTGGAGGCTCTTCACCGGAAAAACCCCCCGGTGTGAGAGTTATTTGCAGGTCCGGCTTTCTACCAGCGGGGAAGAAGATCTTGGAGCGGTTTCCAGCTGGTCAGGTGTTTACACTTGTATTAAGTTTGATGCCAAACTTTTAAGTTAGTACCTCTGGGTATGGCCTCCTTTAGGTCTAATTCCACTTGAACTTTTGAGAAACATTCCATTTGAACCTCCTAACCCTGACACCACAATGCTTAGCACCTTGCCTATGAGCCTTCCAATCTTCAGTCCAATTTCTTTTGTGATCCAATGAAGGGGTAGTTTATGAATTTGGACTCAAATCTTGATTTTCTCCTCATCGGTCGAGAAATAAGGGTTATTCGGGTTCCACTCCTTCATGATAATGTATTGGCCATCAAAAGACCACGTCTTTCCATGCAAGATCCTGTTATTATCCTCCTCAATTTGGAAGATAAATTGGTACAGATTATGGCCAATGTTCCTGATATTGAACAGTTTTTTGGTGATCCAGATGTTTTCCATTGTGGCCTTGAGTCCGCTGAAATTTGTTTTTTTTTTTCCAAAATTTTTTGCCTATTAAGCTATTTTAGCATTTCTTAATCCTAATAGCAATATCATCTTCCTCATATTCAAAACCTTTCTCATTCTGTGACAGCCTGAACTTTCTCAATGTGTCCGCAAGATCGTCGTCCATGCCTTTTCATAAACTGAAACCACCTCTAAAATAAGACACGAAAAGAAACGCAAAACATCAACCAGACAAGGAACGCAGAACCCTAACACGCTAAGAAACAGAAAAACACACCTTAAAACAACTCGACCTTAGAGAGAGATCTAGACATAGCCAAAGGAAAAGGGTCGAAAAGGAAAAAAGAGGAAACATAGAAACGCTAAATTCACATAGAAGAATCCGACGTTGGGGTTTGATAAGTTAAAATTGGGTTTGGCCGGTTAAATTAGGAGATGTTTTGAAAAAATCTTGAAAGACAATTTTTATATTATTTAATGACATCCCCCTTATATATTAATCCAAAACGCGCTGAGCCTACGTGGTTGCTTCTGGTGCTTCAGAATCCTATGTGGCAAAATTACATGTTTCGTTATTAGGCTTGGGTAAATTTTAATTTAATTCCAAACCAAGAATAATTAGGTTAGAATTACCATAAATATGTTGATTATTTATGGTCATGTTACATGTATTAATTGCATTTTAATATCATCCCTCATTATAACTATTGAATTGTATATATATTTTAAAAGTTAATAACTTTTGTATTTTTT